TTTGAGTCTAGATACGTAAAATGGGTAAAATGGATTTCTGACTATGCGCAACTGCGTTTATGAGTCTCATTGTGAAACCACCGGGCTTAAAATCTCCTCTCTATTCTGTGTCCTCTCTGAACAACCCTGTGGATCCGATGTAGTTTATCAATACAAAATTTTTTAGTAAGTACAGGATGTACTCCACCGACTGTTAGTAAATATTTCAAATGTTTATCGTTTAAATATCACAAGTAGTCAGAGGCATATAAATTTCCGCTTTTTGGGAGTATAATTGTAGAGTTGTGCCTGCTCCGGCTTGTTATCTAGTTCAAATTAAAATGAAATATGTCCTGAAAAGGTTTGCAGGGAAAAAGAATTTTCATTTAAAGAATCTAGCAAAAGGATTTTAATTTATTAGCTTTTATTTTTTGAGTTTATAATATAAGGGCTCCAATATAAGAAATCATCTAGCCACAATTTATTTACTTCGCAATTGGTGAAACAACTAATTAATGAACTCGTAATGATCTTTGTAAAAAATCTTGAAATTGCATACAAGTAATTTTTATTAGTAAAATGTATGGTCCGCTGGCACTTAATATGTCTAAGTTATCGTTACCTAAGTAACATGCTGATTGTAACTCTTTCACCTTATTACTTATATTAATTTTTTTTCATTCATACCATTCCAAAGATATTGAATTTTTTGTCCCCCTACCACTCTTAAAACGTATGGAGCATCGATCGTTGCATCTGTTCCCCTTCCTAATGAACTGCTAATTTTCAAAATCGGAGATTTTTCGAAATTTTCATGGCCTATTTGACGTGCTTTGACTCTACTGTGCAGAATTCTCACGGTTGCTCTTCTTGTCAAGAGTAAGCATCCATCACTTCGGCAGCTTTCTTAGGCACAATATTTTTTTGCACAACATGACCCACGTGGTCCCCTGAGAATATTTTTATCTCATCTGTCTTCAATCGGTGGTCTTCCAAGGCGAGAACATGAACTTTGCTTTTGTAATTCTCGAAACTCCTTAATTTAGTATTTAATGGAGAAAAGTCATCGTACTTATTTTTCTTTTATTCAGTCGAAAAAATCGGCGACCATCCGTGTGAAGGAAAGCCAAGAACCTTCGAAGACGGTGAATCAAAAACCTAGCTTGATGAGGATCCCTGTCAAATGCAAGAAGATATTGCTTCAGCATTCAGAGTCTACCGCCAAGCCATTTCATAGCGACTACATGCAGTGGGAATGATTCATAAACAAGAAATTTGTGTTCCTTATGACCTCAGAACCAGGAGAGTTGCGAGAAAGCAATTCCGCTCATAAGACAACATCGGAAAATAGCTGGATTCTTGGATAGTATCGCAAAATAAACAGTTTTACCAATATGGCATTCGAACTTTGCCAGAAAATTGTGACTAGCGATGGGCAATACATCGAATAATTCATTTGTAACCATTTCCTTACATTAAAATTCCATTTTCTTTCAATAAAAATTTAAAAAGTTAAAACAAGTAAGGAAAAGCTAAGTTCAAGCGATTTTCTTTGCCCATGATATAAACTAAAAAAAATTATTTCCTGGTTTTCATCAATGTACTTCACATACCATCTTCAAACATTTAGAACAAAGTCAGCTGGACGTATGGACGGAAGGACAGTCACCCGAGTTTCAACTCGTCTCGTCATCCTGATCATTTATATACAAGTATACATATATGTATAACCAGAAATATCCAACTCGATTATTTTTAGGTGATGCATACAACCTTTAGGTGAACAAAACTGTTATACTCTGTGGCAATTGGTAGGAAAACTATAAAAATATGGTAGTGTCTCGAAAGATTATCGTCCTAATAATGCAGACCTTGTTCCTTCTGTCTAACGTTTGTACCGGTAGATACAGAACGCTCATACTGGCGCTCTCTCAACGGCTCACATCAGAACAGGGTGTCAAAAATCGATTTGAGTCCTTCTTGGCCCCCAAACCTATGGAATACCTTCGAGATAAAATCCATAAATTGACAGAAAGATGACAAAATATTATAACTTCAGATAATTCAAATAACAAAATCGTAATGCTTTAATGGTTTCGTTTATTTGAATTCATAATTTCAACTTTTAACATTAAAAAAATTAACAATTATGTGAAGAAAAATATTTAGCGCATTTTATTTACAATACAAAAAAAACAGCTTGTTAAAAAATTTCAATAAAAACCTTAATCACCAAATTTGTAGGTTCTGTGTTCAGATGTTTGATTTTAATTATCTGTAGTTATGCTAGTAAAGCCATGTATTATGCAATATATGTAAATTCAAAACATATGACAAGTTGGTGTATGCTTGCTTCTCAAATAAATATCAAGAGGAATGTAATAACTTATTGATTGTAAGAGTTACGCCTTAAACTTATCGATCACTTTCAATACGAGTAATTTAACAAATTTTAATATAAACTTTATTACTTTTGCTAAATATTATATAATATAAGTATGTATATATGTAACTACTTGTTAAAGCCATTCATTGAGTTATTATTGATTCTCATATCTTTATAAAGTTGTTACCTATATTTGGATATCGGTTATATAGTAAATTAAGTATTATCCATATTTTGATATTCTTTTATAGTTATTTGCTGTTGTTTGTGTATAAGTAGTTAGTTATGTATATGTATGTATATCGATAGTAAATTGAGTTCTTAGATATTTTAATTTAGTTTGGCATGAAACCACATTTAGAAGTGAGTGAAAGTTAAAATGTATATAGTACACGTGTATATTCATAAATAAGTATATAGTATATGTATAGTATGTAATAGGTAAGCATTGGTGGGTTTTAGATATGGTTATTTTTCTTTTTCTTTTCTTGTACATCGCCTTTTATTAGCATAGTTATAGTTATTTGTGTGCATGCAATATTCTTAGATTGAAGCTTTTGTTTGTTTGTTGGAACAGTAATCGGTGTGCTTCTGGTGGTCTTAAGTCCATTTAGTATAGTAGCGTTAATTTTATTGCTGCTAAATTTTTATGTATGTATTTTCATTCCATTTCAAATCTTTATACTCTTCACTTTTGATATTTCTTTTATATCTTTCATTTTGATTATTGTTTGACGACAAAGCCTTGCTTTTGTTAGATTTCATAACGCTTGGTTGCAGTAGGAATTTAAAGCTTTTAAAATATACTCATAAGTGTTCAAAGTATGTATTCAATGTATAAATGTATTAATATTTTTGTATTGTCGTTAAAAATTATTATTTTTTGAAATATATATAATACATATATTGTTAAATTTTACATTTGCATTTGGATGTGACGACATTGAAAGCAGATAAATAATATTTGCTGAGTGGTATTAAAAAATTTTATTTATTCTAAGCAAGAGTAGTTTATTAAGTTCTGTTTCAGGGGTATCGTAAGGTATTAAAATATTGTCTCAAACTTCTGGCAAATCTTGTTATGTTCTTAAAACAAAATTTATTGTTAAGAATACGAATAGGAGCAAGTAAGCTTTTTAATGTAAATAAAAAACTTTTTTTGCGAATTTATTTCTTAAGTATGGATTAAGTTATTTTAATCTGATCTTTTGTATATTATTGACCATACTTTCGACAATCTAGTGTAATTCTTTTCGTCAATTTTTTAGTTTCTAAATTATAGACTCGTATGTGATATGTACGGAGAAAAAAGGGTTACCGAACGACAATTTCGATCTTGAGAATGCACAACGCYCTGGCAAGACTCTCAAACGGATGTGGACTGAATAAAGTTGTCGATGACACTCGTCGAATATCAACTCAAGTGATTGCAGAAAGATTATATTTGTCAAGCACATGAAAAACCTGGGGTTAATTTCGAAGCCTCACATATGGGTTCCTCATGTTCTGTCAAATTGCTTCGTCGTATAAACGTTTGAGATTTGCTTATCTCCAAAATTGATCGTATGTCAAAGAAGTGATCCATTTTTGAAACGCACTTTTACTGCCTTCGAAAAAATGGGTTGTTTACAAGAATCGAGAGCACAAAAGGTCATGCTGTTAATGTAATGAAGCAGCTCAAATCTCTTCGAAGGCCTGTAAAAGGGTTATGTTTTCTGTTTGTTCCTGAACAGAGTATATTAAAGTTGCCACGATGTTCGTAACAGCCGAAAGGAAACATCTGGGACTCTATAAATGATTCGCATGACGTGCTGAGTCGATTTAGCCATGTCCGTCTATCTGTCTGTATGTACATGAAGCAGTCGTTTAGTTTGCTCCACAAAAAGGTAGGAAGCGGCGATATCAAGTGTTCAGCGTAATCACTATCCCGATGCTTTAATGGTTTTGTGAGGTATCTCCTTTAAAGGCTTTATATATATTCACTTCTGTGAAAAGGGGTTAAAGTTTGGGGGAAAAGTGCACCAGCATGGAGTTTTAGAAGATTTGATAAATCAGTTAAATCAATATTTTTGCAAGGTTCTGCTCCAGCACAAAAAGCAAAAGCCACCAAACAGTGGCTTAAAAGCAACATAACTCCTTCATAGCTGAAGATGATAGGCAGTTTGGAAGTCCAGATTTGAATCCAATGGAGTAAAGTTTGTGGTCAGAGTTTGGAAATATGGCCTGTCGAATTCTGCACAGAGATTTGGAGAGTATCAAAAAATCTTTGGTTCGACCAACGTTATCAACACCAATATAAATTGTGTGTGGTACTGATCACTGGCCGAATCCGTTGAGGGCTTGTGTGAAAAAGATTAAAAAAAAAGAAAAGTCTTACTATTTTTACCCACAGCAAAAAGTTTAGTTTCAAAAAATTTAAATAGAATATAAATTTTTTTTATTAGTATATAAATGCTTCAGGCTTAGAGTAAGTTTTTATCTATGCCAAAATAGTTTTGAAATGTATATAGTAATAATAATTATTATTATCCTATATTTCATAAGATATTAATTAAAATATGATAAATGTTATTTTTTGAACTTGATATGAAAATAATGAAAAGTAAAACTATTTTTCATTATAATAGGCGTTTTTTCTGTACGCATATTTTTCCGAAATATTTACTTAAATGCTATAGGTGTCAGAAAATACTTTTATTTGACATAATAAAAATATTAATTTGTTTTATTATTATTTTTAGAAGAAGCACACTTCAAGCTGTACTTTACTCATAAACTCAACGCATTCTCAAAGTCCTACAAATGACATTTTTTATTTGTATAAATATGTTTTGTATGTATGTACCTGTATTTAATACATTTTTACTTAAGCATACGCATTTATTCATTCATATAACTGTAATTAATAAATGTATGCACTTTATAATAATTATGAACTAATGTGCATGGGTTTAACTAGAACGCTCTATGATTGTATCACATACTGAAATCATCGCTCCTATATATGTATGTATGTATATTATTACGATTATGTGTATAAAGATATTCCTAACGCACTTAATGCTTACATTAAAGCGCACATATTCCTACGCGCTACGCCCGCTCCGTCGCCCTCGTTCATAGCCATCGTCTTGGAGCGCATCAAATTCAGATCAGTTCGTATGCTGGGGCGTCGCGCGTTCGGTGCTACCACTCCGCAGGCATCACTGAAACGTCGCTTAATCGAAAGCGCATTCTTCTTCGACCCGCCCAAAGTTGTGTGTGGCGGCAAGGGTGACGGTGCTCCGAATACGGATACCACGCGTCGATGGTGATTCGGTGCCATTTCCAATGGTAAATTCGAAACCATAAAAAGTGCATAAAACAAATCATCGATGCGGAAATTTTGTCGCGCCGAACATTCGACGAAGACGCAACAATTATCTTGGCCGGCAATGTATCCCATTACCTCGTCTAGTTGAACTTTTCTGCAATAGAGATCATTTATATTAGTTAGATATGTATATAAATAAGGTGGAACGTGAATTAGTCCGCAGCTAATCTTTCGATTTGTTAAAAAACCATCGCATAGTCTGCGATGGAAAACTGTTCGAAAAGCCTAATAGTTTATGAGTTACTATGCAAACAAATATTATACATATATTTTTTTAAAGAAGGCGGGTAGATAGGTAGAGTGAACGATACACTGATTCCACAGAGACTGAAGTCTTCTCACTCCATTATCTCTTCTCTGAACCAGCTTGTTTTATATATGCAACCGTAAAAAAAAAATGAAGAAACTCTCGACCTATAGTTGCGATTCTTTTCGCATATAAAATGTTCTATAATATCTTCTTCTTCTCCTGACAGCTTCTACAACAGTCATTGTTTGCGTTTCCCATTCTGCTGGCTAATCTGTATATTAGACAGTAACTTGTTATCATTTCTACTACGGCTCCTTTGTCATTTCTTTTGATTTTTAATAGTGGCATTTATGGCTTGTTTGCCTTATTGTTGAGCAGGTCAGAGATTGATTCCTCGGAGACTCAGCTATATTTGTGACATGTTTGTTGATTAAATATCTACAAATAGCCAGAGAGGCATATAAGCTTCCTCTTTTTCGTATTCGAGTTATAGGGTGGTGTCTTCTCTCTCTGGTTCATCTGTTTCACATTTATCAGGGATTACTACGTCTTCTAAACCATATCAGGTACTATATCGTGAAATAGGATGTTAGATCCGCCAAGCAATCTTGGTATTATTTTAGTACTTATTAATTTAGTACTTTGATAAAACTATAAGAGGCAAGAATACTTTCTTTGATTGCTATGATCTCTGCTTGGACGACGCTTTTGGTCGGAAAGGGATTCTGTTTTCTAATTTTGTGAAAAGTTAAAAAGGATAATACAATAGATTGGGTCTCCTTAAAAGCAATGAAAACAAAATTATTTTAATAAGGGAACTTATTACATTCCGGCGATTATTTTGTAAACCTTTAAGGAGGGTTGCATTCGTTATTAGTCTATTGGTTTTCTATTTTCGAATATTCACATAAGAAGTGAAAAACTGACTATGTAGTGTTCCTATATATTTTTTCTACTAAAAAACTATGAAATTTGCACTCACTTGGGTTCAAGATCACATTTATTTCCAGCAATAACCATGGGTATCTTTGGCAAACTTTTCTTCTTCATACCGGAACCGGGATTAAGCGCCGCCCATTTAGTTTCTAGTATATTTTCTCGTAATCGTACGACTTCCTCGAAAGATTCTCGCGAGTCCATACTGAAGACTAATATGAAAATATCACCTGAAATTAAAAAGAAGTAATGATATGACTGACGAATATCTGAGATGTGTATATGTATATATTTTATTATGTATATGCATACATATGGACTATTATAATTTATGCCAAAATGTTTATATTAAGAAAAAGTTGTCGTTATACAAAATATGTGTGTAAATTAATGATTAAAATATTAATATTTCTCAACGATTGCAGATGTGGCTTCTCGCTTCTTTACTGTCAAATGCGACCCTTGTCATTTCACAATATTTAATTTATCAAATTCTTCCAGTTTTGATAACTAGACACAAGCACATATGTACTATAAATATGCTTAACCAAATTTAAACCGTATTATACAAATATGCGACAAAAACTTTCTTGGATGGGAGTCCCAGTGATCATTTTCGTTTGAACTGATGTATTTCTGTTTAAACATAAGACAAGAGTGTTCTCTAATAAACAAACATATAGTATAGTCCGGTCAATTTAGACATAAACATAGTGATCAAAGAAAGAAAATTCCATGAGGTCGATGGTGGCTTTTTATACTTTATTTTTTATGGTAAACCTAAAGTCTCTACAAAAATTCTGCTTTACTGGAATTTTATTTCAATTGTCCAAATTGACTAGTAAGTGGATTTAGTGTATCGAGGCCTATAATAGCTTTTAATATATTTTTCTAGCCTTTCAGTCGGCATTTATTGCAAGACTTTATAATACTACATATGTACGTACATATAATAAGTGAACACTATGGTTTGTCTAAGATAATAATTGGATAACACATTCATCACTTAAAATAAAATATTTGGGCAAAAAATTCCAAAAGATGGCTATGGGATCAATTTTTTTTTGAAACACATATTTTCGGTGTGTAAAAATATATTTATTGTATTTATTAGACAACATATTTATTACATACTAATTTCATGGATTTTCAGTGCTTCAACATTAGTTTGAGGCATAGTACAATTGGGTTAAATTTGCTTCACCGTATATGTAGTGTGAAAAGTTTCATGTGAAAATGTGCTGTCAATTCCAACAGATGTTCAGTGGGTTGTAAGTGTGACTCGCAAAGTGCTGTTAGTGCTACGAAAATGAAATTACAATCGCATTTATTGTCTGATTAAAACTGCCATTGAATTTGACATAACAAAAACCGCACATAATGGGGGAACAGCTTCGATGGCAAACATTGTCAGTAAACAAATGTATTTAAAAAGTTAGCGCTTAAAGCTGAAACGTACTTATAATTAGTATTAGGTATATTTTCTGGTAGCTTCATAATATTTTTGTTTCGGTAATCCATTTGATACAGTCAAGGACATAGTGCAACTAATTACTATGCATACATATAAGAAAAATAAGTCCTTCATTTAAAAACTAAGAAATTGTGATAAAAAGGTTAAAAATTTTAATTAAAAAAATATTCTAAGAATCGTGCATTTACTTATGCTCTCTCCTCATTTTGAGAATTCGTAACCAAAACCAGTATAAAAGAGCTAAAATTGGATGTAACCGAACATTTCGAACTCTTGCCACTTTCCAAAATAATCATGTCGCAAAAGATTCCAAAAGTTATTGTTCGACGAAAGCCGAACTCAACTTACTTTTATTGATATATTTTACTTCGCGTTAGCGAAATTTATACTCCAATCATGTTATATACTTGTATGTGATATAATATAAACTCAACTGAAGAGGCTACTAAATTAAAAATCGGATCGGTATTCATCATATTTGGGATACGAGTATGAAGTTAAGATCAAGTCCAAAACAAACTCCATGAATTTCAGCCCTGAGTCATTATTATAATATTTAAGAAAATCTGTCCATTTAATTTCATTAAAATATCACAAATTTTGACCGAATTTTTCAAAATCAGCTGGTTAGTTGGGAAATTCTATATGTGTTAATCCGAGGTACCTCACATATCATAACCAATACATAAGGAGTATGGTCAACTAAATATAAATTATATGGGGTCTAGGACAAGCTTTTACCGGATTTTATCAATTTTACGCACAATGATGCCCTGTTATTAAAAAACCATGCTCCACATTTTTATAAAGATAAGTCACATATTGGATGACATGTGAGGTATAAAGTTAGCGAAATGTTCGAAAATCTTTCCATTAGTTATTTGTGGACTAAGGGACCCGCTTCAACAGGTTTTTGATTAGACAAGGATTCTCTCCCAATTCCAATGACATATCTCACACATAGACCAATTTTTTCGATTAAAAGTTAGATATAGACACTGGCGTCCATCGTCGGTATCTGGGAGCTTGAACATTTATAGTCCGATTGTGACAAATTTGGGACTTTAGATTGCTTATTTTAATGGCACTAATTGTGGAAAATTTTATACAGATATTGTCATTGATTCTTAATTTGTACACTGGATGAAATGTAAGATAGCAATGACGAGATAATGTTATCTACCATATGTGGTTAAAATTGGTCAACACATTGTACTATATACATAAATACCAAATTTATTCACCAAACATGAATGTTATGCCACATAGAAATATTCATACTCGTAGAAGAGTAGATTTGTATATGTATGTACATCGTTTATAGTTATGCATTTGTGCACATAAAAATTGTTCGTTTAGCTTGGTATTATTTGTAGTTGCAATAAAAGTACAAATCGGCAGCTTACGGAAATGAACGTTTTTATTTGATGGCCCTTAGTGACACTACGTGCATCTAAACGCAAATTTCTTTAGCTCAATTGTCTTGTTTGTTAAGCTCAGTGATGAACAAACCCCCTAGGAAAGCAACTAGTTATAAAATTTTATTAT